TGTGTGTGTGTTCATGTGCGGATGAGCGTGGGTCTCTCGATGTATTGTCTTTTGAGAATGTGTATCAGAGGTATATGCATTCCAATACGCATTTCCCAGTGGAAAAACATATCTATGTATATATAGTATCTATATATTATCTGTTTCCTTTGCTTATAACATGCAAACAGCCACTTGGTGATCTGACAGCACAGAAGTACACCTGAAGGACGGGGCAGGGGGCAGGGAGGGGAAGCGGCGGGGTGGCAGGGGAAGGAATCGTGTGCATGGGAGCCGGATAGCAGCACCTACATACCCCTACAGTGAACACGATGGTCTAAGAAAAGGAACACCGAGGTGAGGGGTTTTATGACACGTCTAATCATGTTGATGCTGTTCCTACTGTTTGCTTTCTCTACCTGGGTTCCACAATGTCAGGGCCAAATATTAACTACACTCTTTCGACGGCACTTTCCCAGCAGCTTGTAGGATGTTTATGAGCAGCAATAAAGCAAAAAAAAATTTCAAGGTCTTGGCCGGGCACCATAAACAACTTCTTCCCTCTACGAATTCAACCGCCAACTTCTTTCCACTTACTTTCTAACCCAAGCTGATCACTTCCGACTAATTGCAGACACAGGGATAACGGCGATACCTCTGCAAAGGAGCAATAAGTTGCCCAATAGTTTCTTCTTTTTTTTAAAAATCTACACTGGACCTATACAATACACTACAATGACTGCGATTTGTTTTTTTTGTTGCCTCTCCATCTCGTCTCGTTATATCCAGCACACCATAATCTCAGTTTCTGCGAACCCGTCAGGCGTCCTCACAACACGCACGAGCCCATGCGAGGGATGACAGAGCTGTCGACAATCAGAGGAGACACTCTGGCTGAAGCGCTTAAGCTCAGTTGAGTCAAACAAAAGATGTATATGTGTGTGTGTCTGTGTGTGTGTGTACATATGCAAAACACACAAATGTCCCAGTGTTACGACTGCACAGTTCGTTGAAGGAGAGTGACTCTAAAGACGTCGTCCGACCACGTTGATTCGAGGAAGCAGGAAGTAGAGGGAGGAAACAGGCAGCGGGGCAAGCAAATCCTACAAGCACTGAAGCAGTCGAGGCAGTGGTGCAGGGCTTGAAGAACAACTACTTAACATTCAAAGACAGAAGTAGAGGGCGGGGGTGGGGGGGGGATCAGGCTTGAACAGAAATGAAGCGACGAGCGACGTTTCCTGCGTCCCAGCCATATAATACACTCCCATATTGAGGATGGCCTTTCAGTTTTGGAGTTTTCCAGAGAGGGCTGCTGTGTTCTTTTTATGTTTATGTGGAATAATAGAAGGTGTGTGTGTGTGTTTTTGCTTTGTAAGAGTCAGCGCGAGTCAGTGTTTGTGTACAGTGTGTGTCAGACTGGGTGTGTGCTGATACACAGCGGGATTAAGACCCCGTTGACCTGTGCCATATTCCAAGGAGAAGAGGCAAGGCGAGGCGGGTGGGGGGGGGACGGTTGCATCAGCTGCACGTAGGTTCCCTAGTTATACCCGAGGTAGCCACTAATCCCGATTCGTTGCTAAATTACAAGCGGTACCACCTCCACATAAAAAAAAACAAACCCTGTTATAAGTAACAATAACTAAGCAAGCAATAAAGCAGGTGCAAATGAGACAAAGCCACACAACTGCACTCACTAACAGTAAAGCAAGATGTTTTTTTTGTTCATTTTTTTTCCTCCCCTGCACACAGCACATTTTTTTCTTCCATGCCGTTACGCAACTTGAAGGGCCATAGCAGGTATTTTGAATGTTTTTGTCCATTTTTTTTTACACATTACATGAATCTGCCAACTTTTTTCCACTTTTTTACAAATGTATTTCCTTTTTTTTTTTGTCAGACAGAATCCGATTCTGAGACTTGCTTTGAATCCCTGCAGCTAATCTGTCATATTTGCATTTGATTTGTCTATGTTATTATGTTAATGCAGCAGCTACATTACCATAAAATGTACATTTACCTTAAACAACAACAACAAAACCAGATGCTGTGTTGTTTTTTTAGTGTGAAGTCATTTTCAGTCTCAGTATTTTTGTGCTATAATTCAATAAAAGGACCAATAGCTGCCCCAAAAGTAGCAAAATATTTTTAAAAAATCCAAAAACACGATTTAGAAATTGGCTAGCAGTAATGTTAAGTGTAAATTAATTTGTTGAGAGTGGACTAAAACATGCAAAACGTTGTCCTTTAAGAGTCAAATATGGATACCAATCGTAATTTTTGTGCCAATCTAGTCAAATCTATGTGGTTTGCACACATCAGCGTGATACTGCTATCACCGATTGGCTACTCATTTTAAATCCTAATAGATTCAGCCTCAGGACACACCCAATTTAGTAACTTGCTAATCGCAAATGAACTTATGAAGCCGCTACTTCATAAACTAACCTGGGAACAAACTTGCGCATAGTTGGTGCAACCCAGTCCAGGTCCTCAGCCTCTGCAATGTGCTATGTTACACCGAGACAGAGCTCTTTAATCGAGTGTGGTCCAGTTTCTCTCAGCCACCTCATTCTCACAAAGGTGCTAAGCTTATGGTACGCATACTGTATGTTGTTGCTTTTTCGTTTTTTTCTTTTTTTACAAAAGACCACATTTTCAGAATTTCTACAAGGCCTCCATAATACTGAAAACAAAAGCCTCTGTTTCTTTTTTTTTTTTTTTTCTTTAGTTTGGCTTTCACTTCCTATCGACGGGCGAAGAGGAAGGGGGCCTGAGATGTCAACGCAGGCGGCCTCAGCTGACAATAGTCAGATACAAATAGTACACCTATTAAGGTGCTTTTATTTTATTATACAAACTTGGGGGGGAGGGGTCGGGGATGTTGGGCAGCAAATAACAGAAAGGTTAGTCGAAGCCAATAAATTCCTCTCTGTTTAAATTTGGTCCAGTCTTTAGATAAAGATCATTTGTTTACCATAAACCTTAGACTTTTATTGGCCAAAGTTAAAGCAAGTTAGTCCGCATGATGCGGGGAGCCAGGCCTGGTCTAATGAGGATTTGGCCACTGTACAATGTCTATGCAAATGTGGTGCAAGCAGGCTCCCTTGGTTCTACAGTATGCATTTGGCTTATTTTTCTGGCTCTGAAATTGGGATGGTAGTTTGTCGGTAGCTCTGCTTTCAAGTCGCCCCTTCTCCTCTACTCGTCGCCCCCGTCATCCTTTCCTTTATCCTTCTTGTCCTTCTTGTCCTTCTTCTTCTTTTTCTTCTTCTTGGCCTCCTCCTTCTTGCCAAAGCTTATGAAGTCACCTTTGTCGTCCACAGGGCCCGCGTCGTGGCGGATAGAAATGATGGCCGGAGACCCGGGGATGATGAAGGCTTCGGGGGGGATCTCTCCGGGCTTCAGGGGCTGAGGAGGGCCGTAGCCTTGTCCGGCGCCGTATCTGAAGTGCCAGCTGTTGCTGTTGACTCCGGCACCCACTGGGGGCGAGAGCTCTCCACCGCCCTCTCCATCTAAACAAGTACGACAAGAGAGAAAACGGAAAGAGATCACGTCAGATCTGGATACTTATTGCATTTAACTGGTCCTTTAGAGGAATAGTTTTACATTTTGGGCAACCTGCTGAGAGTTAAAAGAGGAGATCAATACCACTTTCTTGCGAGCTAAGTGGGATGTTACAGCCTTGGAGCAGTTGCCAGGCAACCAGGAGAAACTCCAGGAAAAAGAGTTGATCTCAGCCAAGAAATAGTCCGACTTTATAAAAAAAAAACTAAAAGAATGAATTGAATTTTTACACTAAAAGATGCTACATGTTGAGCTCGAGGTGTTAGTCGGCAGATTCTGTTACTTTTTGACTGAGCCCAGCTTGTTTCCTCTTGTTTCTAGTCTTCAACTGAAGCTAACTGGTCAGTCACATATTTACCATGCAGATAGTTTTACAATCATTCTTATAAAACTGCATTTTTTACTTTATTTTTTGCAATCAAGCACATTCCACAGTCACTCCTTTCACATCCCAGTAATATTTCATTGCAGCATTTTCCACTCTAGCTTAATTTAAACCCCCCTCTGCCATTAGCTTACAATAACTGCTAGGGCTGTCACGCATTGTCCTTTTCCCCCTGACTTTATTATTTAGTCAATGGCCTGACAATCGCACGATAGCCACGGGGAGCGAATATTTTCAGGACAGCCGTTCAGCCAAGATCACAGAAGGGAATACTGGAGGGGGCTAACCTTTAAACCACAGGGATGTTTAACATGGCAATGGGATTTGTATTTGTATTTGGATGATGGCTGCGGCATAATCCGCCTCTCATAGGAGGCCAGAGACAGGGATTCAACCCCTTAGTGCGCAAGCATGGATGTGAAAGAGAATGAAACCCACATATTAAACCAAGAAGAGAAAAAAACTGAAGCAGGGGATGGGATCTATATATAGAAGAATCATTATGAAAGGTAAAAATCTGATGTAGCTGTTGAGGTCAAAAGGGCAAATATATTTGAGAATGAAAAGCAAAGAGGATGTGAGATGAGATGAAGCGAGCGACAGCGAGAGAGAGAGAGAGAGAGAGAGAGGCAGTAAGGAAGATGGGGGTGGGCGGGTTTTACAGACACGGTGCTCTCAGGCCCACACCAGTTCCCTCTGCGCTGACCTACTTTCAGTCTGGATTTTATTTAGATCAAACACAGGCCCTTGCAAAAAGATTCTGTTTGATTTATCTTTGTAGGCTATTTATGACATTGCTGGAGAGCCGAAACGGTTTCAACCACTATCCCACTGGGAAATACGCTATTGTGAAAATGTGTGCCGTCCACAGTGTCCCCGCAACGAGTTAATCGAGGATGAGAGTAAATTACATGTATAGACTATAAAAAGAGCAGACGTAATGGACACTATTGAACTGCTCTATAGATAGCTCTGCATTATCATTCTGTTTCCCCCACGCCTACAAAGAGCATATAGAGAGTCCTGTAATATATTATTGAGCCATTGCAAATTGATTAGATATTAAATCAAGGAAATACTGTAAAGGATCAATGCTTTCAATACGGCAGGATGCGTCAGATATTGTAGTATGTAGTAACACAGCAACGGGCTATTGTGACGAGATCACAAGAAAGACCAGACATGCATAAATAATTTGTTCTCCACTCGCAAAAATAGAAGTATTCATTTTTAACTACATGAAATAATTAGCATGTGAAGGACTGGGAGACCAAAAAAATAAAACCCATGAGGTATTGTATCTGAGGAAATCCAGATTTATCCGGTTCATTGTTTTGTTTTTTTTTAAGTTTGTCTCATTTTATCTAACTGCCGTGTACAATTTTTTGGGAGAGAAAAAAAAAAAACCTCCAACAGCCGCTAATTGACCAATGTAATTGAGCTTGTTTGATAATTAGTCAGTGTCAGATGCTATCATCTTATCTCGCCATTAGCAGAGTTACTGCTGTAATACTGTAATGCTAGTCAGTTTCAGGATTATGACATTTGATGGTATGGTCTGTCTGTTTGTATTTAATCTGGGTATTAAACCCAGGATGTGGCTGCGGTATTTTAAATAAGTCCTATTTGACTGGTATCAATGGTTAGACGGGGAGGATTGCCTCTCATGCGGAGGAGGACAAACATGCTTAAAATAAACCCAAAAGACAGCCAATGAGTTAAAGGAGATGCACAAAGTACTGGGAGGCAGAATGAGGATGAGGCTGCTGAGGCAGTAATGCAGTGAGCTGCATGGTTGGACCGAGTGCGGCACACTTTTATATAACCGGCGCACCATTTTCTGTTACCTGATCCTGCTGTTTGAAAGAAAGTGTTTGATGCTTAGATTTTTAGAAATATTTAGGGCGCTGTAGTGCTGAGAAATGACTAAATATCCCAAAAGAGATCTTTCTACATTTTAGATGTCACAGCTTACTGTGACAGCGTTAAATACCTGCAGGCAACTTTTGATCATAAACTCAGGTGACTTGGTGGTGACACGTAACACCATAAAGACAGATGTCAACCTGCAAGATGTTCACTAAATGTAGCCCATGTGAGTCGTCTGTAATAATGGAATATTTTCTGTGGCTTAAATGTACATTTTGGAGATGAAAGATGGTTCATCCTCTGGGGAGCATGGATTTGTTAAATATATCTCAGGTGTTAGAGGAAAGGTCAGAAGTTCACTGAAACCTTAGCATCCATTCTCAGTGGGAAATGAATGCTAAGATGACCTTTAAATTGAACCCTATTCATGACTTTTGGGGTCTTTTGGACCCCAGGCCATTTGGTTTATGTGACAGGTGTTGTTTTTTTTGTTTTTGAAGATTTTTTATATAAAAAGAGGGACATTTGTCATGCATTTGGAACCAAAAATACTTTAGCTTATCAGAAAATGTATTTAGCGTAGTATAAAAGTCTATAATGAATGCCAACAAATATTTTGCACATGTTCTTCCTTCCTTCTACATATGGCAACATGAAAGTCCTGAATAAGTTTAAAGGTTTATTTTGAAGAGTGTGCACACACAGTCCTGTATAGCTGCAGTTACTGGGAGATCTACTGGTTTTAGCCAGACTATTACAGGTTCAGCTATGACCTACTTAGTTAACTGTTGGACAGTTTGTTGACATCGTGGAAAATCGTTATCCAGAAATGTGTGCAAATTTGCCGGACTGGTTGCAGAGCTGCGAGCTGAGCTGTAATTACTGTGTTCCTGCAGTGAAGAAAATAGTAGACTATCACAGCAATACAGTAAGTGGTTGTGGTACATGTGCACCTGATGGGATTATAACAGTGCATATGCCTGTGCTTGACCAGCTGAGCTAGAATGTCAACCGACTGTGAAGCGTCTAATCAAGTAAATATTGTCTGAGTGTCTTGGGAGATCCCCGGGCTTCCTGCACTGCTGTGACAAATGCAAACCCTCTGACATGTTAATTAAAATGAGGTCCCAGGTATTAATCAGATGATATTGCTGTGTGAGTGTGTGTGCATATTAGAAATTAATTCGTGACGTGTAGGTCATGTCACAGTTTGGTTCAGTTATAAAGAGCTTTGCTTCCTCCGTGCTGCCGTTCCTCTAACATGCCTCTGCCATTGCTTTATCTTAGCCCATATTTCAGAGCAAATGTGTGTCTGAAGCGGATTATGGTGTAACTGCTGGTAAGCAGGTCAGTAAAGCTCCTTGTGAGGAGGTTGCCATGACACCTGATGTGGGTATGTGGGTGTTTGAAGCCTCATTTTGTGTAACCTGATGTCCTACATTTAAAATAGGCTATGTTATTTTCTGTCTGGTCCAAGATACGGTTCCAACTAAAATGAATCCCTCTGGTGGTTTGTGGCACATGTACTAATCTGACAGTCACACAGAGCTGGCGTAAATATATGCGGTATGTCTTCTGCATGAGACACATCTACATAAACCGTACTTTCTGACATTATTTCCTCACAATCGGCCTCCTTTCCCTTCTTAATACCTGCCCTTGCCGAGTCCCCTTCCCTCTCCTGCTTCCTACTCCTTCCATTTTTTTTTTTGTCTCTAAATATTCCATTCAGAGATATGGCCGGTTGCCATGGAAACTGCCTTCGCCCACTCCCTGCTGATGGAGGGTGCGGCTGCTGCAGCAATCTCTCAGTTAGACAGTGTTGCCAGGCAACAGGTCACATGGCGTTCCCTAGCAACAACACTACTGCAGGAACCTGCCAATCCTCTTAACCTTTCTCTCACTCCATCCCCCCACACCTCGCTTTTTTTTTTCTCCGTCCCCCCCGCCACCCCCGTCCCCTGTACGTCTCCTTTGCTCTTCCTCCTTCCAAAATTGCTTTTAATGTTAGCGGATGTCCCTGCTTTTTCATGGCACTGTCTTATTACTGATAATAGTCTGTCTCCCCCTCTGGCATCAGACAAATGTCTCCTCATCTGCGCCATGGGTCACTTACATAAACACACTTTTGAGGGCGCCGCATTTAGATGCACCGCGGCATGTCGGACAACTTCATCATGATAACAATTCGCCGCCGCAGACGGGAAAATGTGTCACAAAAAAAAGGCTCCACCTCTTGATGCATAATAAAGAGGATCAACCTGCAATCTAGTACATGTCTATGCTTTAGCACTGAGCCACTCCTAACAAATGATTTCCTAATGCACCCCTGATAGGACTGCAGTATGCTGCTGCTGCTGCCTTCAAGACAATATTTGACTCTTTACATGACCGGAGACGCAGCTTTCCATCTGCTCTGAGAGAAAAGAAATGTGCATTTCTCTGCTGCAAGCTGGCACAGAGATAGTGAAAACTGGTGCAGCTGGTATCTCAAATAATTCCCCAGCTCTCTTTTCCACAGAGAGGAAAACCTTCATTTGGACACGTTTAGTAGCCGGCAGTAAGACGTATTCTGTCACCGACTCGCAGAGTGATTTAGTGTGATGCCACGCTTCTCCCTCAAGTCTCTACGTATGTTCTAATTCCTGCAGCTAGACAGAAAATCGATGAATGAAAGCCAGGCCGAAAGGAGGAGGGAAGAGTACACAATGTTCCAAACACTGTTTCGAAATCTTGGTAACAAAAGTCTTTTCAGTGGCTTCTGTGCGTTTCCACACACACAGGAGTAGTACTCCCAAATATTGTTAGTCATTAGCTCGAAGCCAGTGATGGTGTGAATGACGTAGCGCGGGTCATCACTGAGGTCAGCTCTCTTTACACTTATGTTGCTGCATATTTTCAGTGTTGCCACCCACTCAGGACAACACACTTCTTATTGAGAGCAAACAGCTGCCGTTTTTCAGTCTGCAGCTCTTCCTGCTGTCGGCTACTTTTATGGGAGGATACTGTTGTTTATCTGTGGCTCTGCATGAGGGCCTCGGGCTTCTGGCGTCTCAGCTAAGCTCTGTATGAACACCACACTGGAATTCAAGATCGTGCAGATATTCAAAGGACGATTCTGTCAAACCGCTAGTAAACCAAAGATGAATAATATTAAGTAGAAGATGCACTTAGGTAAGGTGACATCAGTCCCTTGATGATCGTCTCACCACTCGCGTCGCCCGTCCTATGAAACTTTGTTCTATCAATATCGCCCCAGATGTAATTAAAGGAACAAGATTGACATTTTAGGAAATGTGTTCATTCAATTACTTGCTGAGAGTTTGATAAGAAAGACCGATACGACTTTCATGTCGTGTAGGCTAAATATGAATCGACAGCCAGCAGATAGTTATCTTATCTTAGCACAAAGGCGGGACACGGGAAGGCTGACTCTGTTCAAGGGTGTAAAAAGTGAAACGTAAGAAGGTGGAAGTTGGAGTTAAAAGGTTTTGATTTTACATTTTTTGCACAGAAAAAACAAGATAATTTACATCTGAACACATCTGTTTCTTCCAGTTTTGTTTTAAGCTAAGCTAAACTAACTGACTTGTGGATGCTGCGTCATATTTAGCAAATTGACATGAGAATAGTTTTCATCTTTGTCCCAATAAGAAAATGAACAAGCATTGTCTCCAAAATGGAAAACTGTTCCTTTAGGTGTGGCTAAATAAAATGTAAAATAATCATATGAATGAGAGCTAAACCTATTGAAATGGAACTTGGGTTGTAAAGAAAAAATACAGTTTTTTAATTTTTATTATATTTGCATTGCTTCTATTAGGGAAACATAAATCATCTAAAATTGTATCATCATTCATTGTTCACTAAAATACGTAAATAACACACATGCTTTTTAATGTGCGACAAAAAGGTCAAAAACAGTTCATCAAATACCAAGTGGGGTTTTTTTTTGCACAAATAACCAGCATACCGGTGCCTCTTAGTAGCATCCCTAAAAGTGAACTAGCCTTATTCAGATAAGTATCATATTCAGCACTGCATTTAGCCTCATAATACACACTCATGTCATCCTGCCTTTTTCACAAAATAAGGCTGTTTTCTGTTATGCACTTAACTGCATTATTTAGATGAATACACAGTGTGACTGATATACTACTATCATTACAGATAAAGCACATCTTCCAACAAATAGCCTTTAAAAAAGAATCATACATTAACCCCAACAGACCAGATATACAGGTAACATCCCAGACTCTTGAAACATTCTGATCAAAGCTTAAACATATATTGCTTTTGCAGAGCAAATGTGCAGAAACCATCTTTAACTCATCAGTCATAAGCCTTCTGCCACCACTGCCCCAAAGAAGCTGACACAAACAGAGAGTGCTCCGTCACCCGACATCCTGACTACTGACCTGCAGCGCTGGAAACAGTGGGCCAGTTCTGGACCAGCATCCCCTGGGCTCCTTGCATCACCGAGGACTCCTCCATGTGGACAGAACTGAAATTGAGGAACACATTCAGCAGAACCAATGAGACATTTTCAAACATGCTGACAGTCTTTTTTTTTTTAGAGATTTGACTCTAAGTAACTACTCTCTCCATAAAGAAGTCTCAAATGGGATGGTAATCCAACACGCCAAAAAACAGCTTACAGTGTAGAACTTTTCAAGCGGCATTAGTCACCGTCTCAAGCCTCGGCAGCAAACAGTTGTTTGGTTGCCCAGTTTTGGATTAACAACTTTCTGCTTTTTTTATTATTTAAAAAAAAAAGAGACCATTAAAGTAGAATGAACTGCATTAACACAATGTGACAAAGGGACTTTTACTTTGAAATCGGTGCATCCAAAAATGAAACTTGTCTATTAATACTGCTATTATTTACAGCTGTGACTAAGCTCTCGTGTGAATAAGGTGTGAAAAAATGTCATATTGCTGAATAAGAATGCATTAAATCTGCCTATTCTTGCAAACTGCTGCAACTCCATCTAAAAAAAACAGCAATTTTCAGCATTAAAAGTATTTTGTTCCAAGTGGATGCCAACCATTTCTCCTAAATTCATGCACGTTTTAAATGTTTCAAACCCTATTTTTGAAATAACTACTAATGAAAAATGAATACAACAGATCCTCTGATGGTGTAAAGACTTAAAATATGTGCACTGACTAATGTAGGAGTTCATGCAGTACTGTTTGGATTTTGCTGAATGAAACATCAAGTGTTACTCACTGCCAGGAAACTAGGTTATTAATTGCTTCCACTTGCTCTCACATTCTTTGTTGTTTCATGAAGTAATTCGGCTGCCAAATTTACGTCTTACTTGAAAATACTATAATTTTCTGGTTGCTGCAGACCAGGATAAATAACCACTGAACCAGTTTACATATCCTCACACATGGAGTGTGAGTCATGGTGGTGGATATAGTTCAGTTTCTGTCAAGTTATCCAAACGCTCTTTATCGTGCTTTATTGTGGGTTGCCATGTTGTGCTGCACTCATTTGCCTTTTCACAACAGGGGGGGGTTACCATTCCGGCTGCCGTGTTAACAGTTCCCGCATCAATGGAGCTGTGACAGCACCACTGTGAAGTGATTGGCTCAACAAATGTGCACATACAAGTTACTGGGGAGAATGGTGCCACTTGCACAAGCTGACCAAGTTTCCCTCAGCTGCAGTAGATTTCAGTCAGTTTGCAGCTGATGTGTAACATAGACTTGCTGTGTTTATTATTCTTGATACGTACATGTATTGCAGGGAGGACATAAGATGCATTTTAGCACTAAATATGCACAGTGAACATCTGTTTCAGTGCTGTTGTTGTTATATGGAGATGTGGTTTGTGCCCACATCACAGGTTTTGATTACTGTGGCTCATGGCATGGTGCAGCATACAGGTATCCATCTTATTCATCATTAGTGTTGTATATGATGTGACGTTTCTGTTGAGATCCACCTTCAGCGTTTTAAACGGCCCTTCAATATGAAATTGACATGCATAAAATAGTGATTATGTCCAATAGAATATGCATGTTTTATTGTATTTGTTTAGTTATTTATCTTGACAGCTAACATGTCAATTATTTACACTTTCAGTTGGGATACATAACATATTTATTGCAATTAATAGCATGCTGTAAGTATTTTCCGCTGATCTTGTTACATACTTACATTTTAATGTATGGTAATTATGTGTATAAAAAGTAGGACACCCCCCTACCACACCCAGGGTATAAAAAAAAATATTGAAAATTCACACTATAAGCACAACACAGGCGCTGAAGATGTCACCAAAGTAGAATATGTTGAGGTTCCAGATTTTATTTTTATTTTTGTCAGCACATCTAAAGTGTACTTTTTTTGAGCTCTACTTTTTTATTCTGCTGGCAGGCAGGCAGGCAGGCGGACGGGCGGGCGGGCGGCACACAGACAGATGGAAAAGCACAGACAGTTCCAACAAATTTCACTGTTGAGGTTCACAGTCACCTTGTGTTGAGTCAGACTTGAAAATAGTCTGAGCATTAACATTTCAAATGATGATTAAAGATGCAATATGCAAGATTTTGAGCTTAATATGACAGAAAAAGAAAAACTGTCTGGCATGTAAAGATATAGTGGAGTAATGGTGTCCTTAGCAGGGGTTGACATGGTGTCAGTCATGCGTGCATGTTGGTGCACATTAGTTCATCCATGTGAGTTCCCCCTATTGCAACTGCTGGCCCTCCCTGCATTCACATACAAGCCGAGGTGGAGGATTCTGCTGGTCAAAACCCCCCAAAATTTAAAGCTTAATTGAAGAGCTCATTTGCAAAAACAGATAACTCCATTTTTTGTAGATTTTGTTGTGGTTTGCTTGAAATAATAGCAATCAAACTGAAGTTGAGTGGATTTGACTCAGTAGAAATGACATGACAACAATAGAGATAACATAATTGATATTGTGTCAGGTAGACGATGGAAAAGTGTGTTTTCTGAAGGTTTGTGAGGATGGAGTTATCTGTTTTTGCAAATGAACTCTTCAGTTGTTTCATTTATGTGTTTTACCGAATCTGTGTGCATTTGCTTCATTTCAGCCTAATGTTAGGCTCACTACTCTTGTTTTTTTAGCTCTCCTCTGCTTCTCCTGCTTATGTCTGCTCTGGTCTGGCCTGTCTGTTCCGCTCCGGTCAGTGTGTGTCTGTTTCCACACAAACACCTGCTTGTACACGACCAGAGTGGACCTGGTTCATCCACCGGTCAGTCTGGCCATGCGTGGAAACAGACACACACTGACCGGAGCGGAACAGACAAAAATTATGTGAAGGAATAACTGGTGAAGAGAATATCAAGGTAGGAGTTGACAAAAACTTGCCTTTTAATGTATTTTACAACTCTAGATGTGGTAATAGGTGTGGCTGGATTATTATTTTTTGACTCTTAAAACCTCTTCAACCTTTCTAGTTGTAAATAAAAAGTGAAAGCAGACTGGAGGTGTGGCAGGTGTGGCCGTTACGCGTACTTGTTTTGTGCTGAGATGCTGGTGCACTAGTAGGATCTGGTGGCTCTGAATGTTGCATTCAGAACATTTAGGGTTCCAAATTTTATTTTATGAATACTTAAAACCAATGGAAGCCAAAACAACGAAGCAAACAGTTGTGCCAAAAAAATGCATCTTTGCAAGTTAGACCGTGCGCAGGAGTCTGAGCATTTTATAAATACGTAGCAGTACCATCTAATTAGCTGGGTTCTGTTCAAAGCTTTAAAAAAAGTCAGTGACTTCCAAGAGTTTTGTCTTTGCCGTGAGGTTGCTTAGCAACAAGAAGAAACTCCAGTTTACTAATCCTAGCCAAGTAATACCCCCAAGGCATTCTGTTTTGTATAAATGAAACAAAAGAGATATAACGTGTGTTTTAGTAAGATTTAGAGGTGCTGGTTGGAAAATTCCACCCTTAGGAGCTAAGCGAGTCTTTTCCCTCTATTTTCTGTTTGTATGCTAAGCTAGGCTAACTAGCTGTGTAGCTTCATATGTACCATGCAGATATAGTGGTGTCGGAAAGAGCATTTTAGGAAAATGTATTTACCCAAATGTCAAACTATTCCTTTAATAAGGAGGCGCTGGAGTGCATAAATGTGTAAATACCACATTGAAACACAAACCCATCCTAGAAAAGCTTTTCCTCCCTCATACATTCGTAATGAATATAGAGCACACTGTATAGGAAGACCTCCACTGACTGGGGCCTCTGCAATGCAGCACATCAGTCCTATGTGAAGCTTCAATGCGCGTTATGTTGATTTTTAATGAATAAAAAATGTCTGTGTGCATTCTGAGCCACTTCCAAGCTTTTGCAAAGTCGCCGGTTTAATGTGTGATAATATGACACAGATAGGACTGGTGTGTTTCTCCACACTGACTGACTACACCGGGAATATGGGTCAGCTACGTTTGCGCTACACGCCGTGGTTAGTGTGATACATTACAGCCGGCCCGTGTTGGGGTTAAGTGTTAATGCGAGCCATCTCCATGTCTGCGTGCGTTAGAGGCACTGCCATTTTGAAGATGGCAGCGGCAAATTGCAGTGTTGATTTATGTTAATCCATGTCATGTTACAGTGACTTGATGAGAGAGAGCGCACATTATGATCCCCTCCACGCCACAGAAATTAACACTAATATCCAATTAAATCAAACTTAGACGGAGCAGATGACTGCACAACCGAGCGGTGAGCATTGTTAGCATGAAATTATGAAAATTCGGTACAAAGCATGTGGAGGGAAAACTCATTAGTTCCTGATGTTCCAGCTGTCCTCGTCTCAAATTAGAAAAACATTTAATTACATATCATTGTGCGACTTTTATGACCCGATTATTATAAAATGTGAGTGATGAATGTAAAGTTGTAAAAAAAACAATGCTGTTGTTTCCAGTCGTTGGTACTGTTGTGGATAATTCTCCTAACTTCAGTGTTCTCTGAGTTGCACTTAATTAGAACATTACTCAGACAGAAGTGGGGATACTCAAATATCCTTGGAAGCAAACAGAAAACACAGCAATCTATCTTTGCAACAACAACTAGGGTAAGCTTCTAACCCAAATCTTACCACCGTGCTGTTGGCAGACGATAATCGTTGCTAGAGTACTGTAACATGTCATGTCATCTTTAGCAGAAATGGAGCCAAAGTGCTGTGTAAACCTGAGAGAAACATTTACAAATGGCTCTCAAGTCTTGTTTTAGTGTAATTAACAGATTCAATTTATCAAAAATCTGCCTATAAATGTGCCACATACGGGGCCCACAGTTGAATGAACTGTGCACGCAAGTTCATCATGTCCTCTGCTGTCTGTGTTCGCAACTTCTCCCCTCATCTCCTGACAAAAAACATACAACCACCCAGAGAGACGCACACGTGTGTGAATGCCGTGCAGTTGTACACGCAGACACTGATGCATGTGTGCATCTGATAATCTGAGAAAGGTCATCGTCAGCTCATTTGTCCTTCATGCTTCCTGCTTAAAGACTGTAAGTGGGGGAAGCGACGCTCAGAATGTAGATGACCTATATAATATTACACTGCAGAGGGAGAGGGTTGTGCATCCACTGATGGAGCTGCACATGCCTTTTCCCAAAGGAAAAGGACAGGGTTGAAGTTCGAACAAATGCTGAAGGGGCCACTAGCAGTCATTTTCTAAGAATGGCACATACTGAGCTGCGGTATTGTGTCTTTTTTTGGGATCAGTTTTACATAGAGGTGATTTAGAGATGCAGAAATCTGTGGGATTAATGTGTCAGGGAATCTTTTGCTTAGATATACTAAAGCTAAAAGCATGATGAGTCACAGTAATGGTACAGACTAGTAGACAGGGTGAGCAGGATGACAAGGTGTAACTTCTTTTTCTAGATAATCACAAGTTGCAAAAGAGTTAAAGATGGAAAATGCTTACCTCTGCATCCCTGCCCTCAAAGATGCAGAATATCGCCAGTCAGCATTCGGGGCTTTTGGCTGAGCGAGCAAGAGGTAAAGAGAGAGAGAGAGAGGAGAAAAAAAAAAAAAGAGAAAGAAGAGAAAGAGAGAGAGAAGAGAGGGGAGTGAGTTTAGTTTGATCTCATACTGTGCAGAGCCAGGCTGGGCCATGGTCTCATCAATTAATCATGATACACATCCCAGCTCTGGACGTGATAGGAACACTGCAATTGTGTCCCCTCTTGCAAGCACACACACACACACACACACATACATATTGATATCCACACAAGGATTTTAAAAAGGGCACTGACAGAGAGCCATATTGACAGTTTTTGGACAGTCCTTCACTTCATGGCTCTATAAATGTGAGAGCTGGGAGAGTTATGCCCTTTCCCTGAGTGCTGGGCTGTTTGTACAGGCCGATGTGTATGTGTTTGTGCGTAGCTGGAGTAAATCTGTCTGCTCCTGATGAACCTGGGCTGAGTGCTTGTAACTCCCGGCAGCCTTCTGGTAAATTATTGCCTTTAAAATCCAATAAGCAAGAGCCATCATCGCCGGGGCAACCGCATCCTATATCTCTGACCTCAGGCCAGCGTTATAGACACATTAAGGCAAATGTGTAGGATTTAGTGCAGGACAATGTGTGAGACGAATCAGCAGCGTCTTTCTCTTTCTTGTCTTCCTTGCTTTTGAGGTGTACTTGACTCTGACTCAGAGGACTGTATATGTCACATAAACCTTTTTACTGTCATTACATTAAAATAACTGTGTTTTAGTACAGACTGTCTTAGCAATAAAAACCAGCAATATAACAGGTGTTTCTAGGAAGTCAGAAAATCTTAAGATATTGGTGAAAGTGGATAAATCTTTAAAAATAAAAGTATTTTAATGTCCCCTTCATTCATTTTATAGAGTTGAATTATAGCTTTTGAACTGTTGGAGCTCTTCACCATGTCAAGGCTGCTGGGTCTCATTCATTTGCCTTTGATGATGCCAACTTTAACTAATGATTTAAGTCTGATTCCTTTAAGTCCAAAGAACCATATGAATCTCATAGGGGGGAAAAGTCATATTTTTAATGAGCTAATCTTTCACGGCCATTAATTACGCCTGACTCTTTCATAATTATTTTCCTCATGAGTAGGTTCTGTGCATATGCACAGCATGAAATGATTGTGAACACTAACACAGATTTTAGCATCTGTCGTACTGTAGTACAGCGAATGCTGAGATGCGTCAGCATCATGTAGGCTGCATCCACGGGCCTCAAAAACACTGAATAGGAAAAGCTGTGTTAAACAAACAAACCTGCTCCGGCAGCAGCAAGTGTCCCAGATAAAGATGGCACATAGTGTTCCTCAGCTGAATTCAGAGGGGAGTATTTTCTGCTGGTAGACCCAGCCTCTTTGAGTAAATCTAATTTGCAGGGCTAAGGAACAGAGGCTGGAGGTTAATTTAATTTGCACTGCTACACTGCTACATTTGTCTTCGTAAGAGATTTTTTCATAACTAATGTACCAGTGACGGGCACTTGATAATAAAGATGATGCATTCAGGGAACCCCCTGACCTTTGGGGCCTTCGGTTTAACAGTCTGGCAATAAAAAAAAATACATTATTCCAATATGTAAACCATCAATCTCTTTACCTTCTCGGTCATAAAAGCAGAATATATTTACCCAGAAATCTTTGCTGGAGTCAAACCCTGACTGCTCAAATCTAAGACTATCAGACATGTTGTCAACATTTAAGAGCAACATAGATGCTGATTGCATGCATACAATTTACTGGCATCAGGCCAGTTAAAGAGTCATCTTTTTAATATGAAGCTAAATAGTGAGCAATCCAGACAAAGCAGGTAAAAACATTAAATTTTTCACATATCTAGAAGCCATAAAGGGTTAAGCAAATTGAATCCCTGGAATGCAAGTGTAGCCTTAGAGACAAGAAAAAGACAACATTTATTCTAAGAATATCTCTCAGACATCAGATGCAACAACTAGTCTCGCTTTGATCAACACAATTAACCCCAACTGCTCAGTTTTACTCACTCATCCACTCATGCACTCACACACCCCCACAGACAAGTGAAGCCCACATGCAAAGAGAGTGAGCCAGTGGTGGAGAGGATTCATGACCTGCTATGGTGTAGACGTGATGACAACCTCAAACTGAAACACAAATCTCTGAATCATCAGAAATAACACAGGAGCCTTGAAAAGCATCAGGACTGACACTAATTCAGTGTGAGTGCTGAGCTGGGCTGGGCTGAGTGACTGCACAGTACAAGGGAGGAACTGAACAAAGAGAATGAAGGTTGCAAGGATTCAGTTCATTGCAGGAAGGGGATCAAACTTGACATGCACGAATGTCATCTCCCTGCAGCGACAAAAGACACGGCAACAATGCAATAACCTTAATTAAAATCCAGGTTTGGTGTATGTGTCTGATGTTGTTTGCGACTAAATGGAATTTCATTACAAAGCCACTGATATGTAAACATGATGACTCATGACCTTCTAGTTATGCAGACAAAGGTAAACATGAAAAAAAAGTTAATGACACACCTCTGGGCAGATTTGCAGCGAGGCATCAGGCATGCTCAGTCTCCGTACAAATCCACTCCCACTGGTGAAGAAGCGGTCGGCGCCGCTACCCCAGGTGCCGCTGATGGGCCGTCCTGTGTTGTAGAACATGAAAGTGTCACTGCCAGAGGTGGCTGTCAGGCAGGTCTTGTAGCAGTAAGTCTTCGTTAGGGAGCCATTTCCACGCACTTCAATGTAGTGAGGCTCCACTTTAAGGTCTCTCCGAAGCACCACATTGTTATTAGGCTGTCCCCCGGCTGCACCACCGGCTCCCCCGCCAGCACTTACGCTGCTGCTCCCGCCATCTGGAGGGGGTTTCTGCGACACACAGCAAGGGGAGCATGACCCCGGCTGAGTGCAGTAGGCATGACAGCGGACGATGGCGAGCACAACCACAGTGACCAGGAAAACAAAGGTTGTGGCGCTCAAAGCCACAATCAAATAGAGGGTCACGTTGGAGAAAAGCAGCGTGCTGTGAGGTCGGATGATCCTCTTGGGGTCTGGGGCCACCTTTGGTGGCACCTCCATGACAGCCACATTGATGGTGGCGGTGGAGGAGAGAGCAGGCTGGCCGTGGTCCTTCACAACGACAGTTAGAGCGAAGGAGGTGGAGTTGTCCTCCAGGATCCTCCGAGTGGTTCTGATCTCACCGGTGTGTTCGTGCACCTTGAACAAGTCCAGGTCAGTGGCCGTCTCCAGCACGTACACCAGCCAGGCATTTGGACCAGCATCTGCATCGTATGCCACCACTTTGGTCACCAAGGCACCAGGCTCAGCGTTCTTTTGTACCGTCTCCAGCGAGCGCGTGCCATTGCCAGGAGGGTTAACTATCAGTGGTGCGTGGTCATTCTGATCCATTATGTAGATGTAGACAGTGGCGACGCGACTGAGTGGAGGAATGCCCCCATCTTGGGCTTTGACCTGGAAGTGAAACTCTCTCAGTGACTCATAGTCGAAGGCTCTCAGGGCATAAGCCTCCCCAGTATCGGCCTTCACAGACACATACGAGGTGACAGGAATGCCATGGTTATTGTCATTGAGCACTGTGTAGGTGATGCGTGCGTTCTCTTTGATGTCTGCATCTTGAGCTTTCACTGTACACAAAGAGGCCCCGGGGGCGTTGTTCTCAGCCACATACACTGTGTATGAAGTCTGCTCAAATCGCGGTGGGTTGTCGTTCACATCAGCCACATCCACCTGTATGGTCTTCTGTGAGGAAAGGGGAGGATTTCCTCCATCCGTGGCACTCAGAGTGACATTGTAGGCATCAGTGGTCTCGCGGTCCAGGAAGGCTGAGGTAACCAGAGTGTAGTAGTTTCTGAATGACTTGATCTTGAATGGAAGGCCTGCTGGGATCTCTAAGCTCACCTGCTTGTTCGCGCCGGAGTCTCGGTCAGTAACGCTAATGAGGGCCACCACTGTGTCAGCGCGGGCGTCCTCCCTCACAGGGCTCGACAGAGACGACAGCACGATCTGAGGGACGTTGTCATTCACATCCACCACATCCACCACCACCTTGCAGTGCGCCGCCACGGCTCCGGGGCCCTTATCCATGGCCTGGATGTACATCTCATAGGAGTTGGTCTCTTCATAGTCAACATTGCTCCTCACTCTTATTTCTCCTGTGTTAGTGTCCATGCTGAACATCTGCCTCACTCTCTCTGGAGTGTAGCTGCTGAAAGAGTAATAAACCTCTCCATTTGTGCCCTCATCCAGATCAGTGGCATTCAGTTTGATCACCAGCGTGTCTTTGGGCGAGTTTTCCAACAGTTTCACCTTGTACACCGAGCTGTCAAACAAGGGAACGTTGTCATTTGAGTCCAGGACTCGCACGTTGATTTTAGCCGTCCCTGTTTTCTCTGGTGTCCCACCATCCACAGCACTTAGAATTAATTGGTGATAAGGCGTCTGTTCGCGATCAAGGGGCTTTTTGAGCACAAGCTCGATGTGCTTTGTATTTAGGGAGGGTTTATTGGATACCAGCGCGAAATGGTCGTTTGTGCTGAGCTGATACATGCGGACTGAATTGGACCCAATGTCAGGGTCTTGAGCATTTTCAATGGGGTAACGAGACCCCGGCAAAGCAGATTCAGTGATTTCCAGTTGATACTCGTCTCTGGGGAACTGTGGCGCATTGTCATTGGCGTCCACAATCTCCACCTCGACATGGTGCACCTCAGTGGGGTTTTCGACCAGCACCTCCAGATTAATGAGGCAGGTGCTGGACAAATCACACAGCGCCTCCCTGTCGATCCTTTCATTGACGAGTAATTTCCCATTTTTGGGGTTGACAATCACGTAGCGTTTACCGCTGTTGGAGGTTACCTTGATCTTTCGGGTGGCGAGCTTTCGAATATCCAGCCCCAAGTCATGCGCCAGATCACCGACCAGTGCCCCATTTTCCAGTTCCTCTGTAATAGAATATCGCAACTGTCCAAACGAAAGGCCACAAAATAAGGAAAATATCACAAAATAAAAAGGCACATTATTCCCTATCCAGTTGCATATCCCCGCCACAGCCATTGCAAGCTCATAGGATCCGCAGACGGATTAAACGCAGCCTTCCGCCTTTTTAGCTTGCAGTATCTCGCATCCCAGCACCTCATTAAGGTGGGCTAATTGGTCTCCCGGTAAACGAAACAGAAGCGGCTCATCCATTGTGTTACCCGGCTGAGGTGGATCCTCTCCAGAGCACCCATATTTCCTTTGTCCGTGATGCGCTTTTTTGTCTCCAATGCGCGCTGCTGACGGGTGTGTTTCCCTGCCGCTGGAGTTGTGAGAAAATCAAGACAGACATAATCTGCACCCGTTAAACCGGAAAAGAGGAGAGCAGCTTTCAAGAATAAAATGATGAGAAGGTTTTACGCGTTTCATTTATTAGGTTTAATTGCTGTAGAGGGCAGAAAAGAGACACATGATGGGATGTTTAGACTTTGCATTAGGTTAATTGTTGAGATTAAAAGCTAAAAAACCAGGTTGTCAGAGGTTTTAAACTCACATAACAGCATTTCAAGTTGTCACTTAATATGTATGGACTAATAATAGATAGCATGCATAATGAAAAAACCTTTATTCTTATCCATTCGTGCATTATCTATAACAGATTCATCCTGTGGAGGCTTGTGAGGGGTGGACCATAATCAAGCTCATGTCATGTAAAATGCATCCTTGACAGTTGATATCAGAGCCAACACAGAGAGACAGAACACTCTGCATCCTCACACTCACAGCTATAACCAATTTAGATTCATCACTAACCACATATGTGTTTGGATTGTGGGAGGAAAACCCACACCGGCACAGAGCGAACATTCAAACTGCACACATGAAGGCTGCAGCCGAGCCCGACAACGGCAACTGCATCGCTTTTAAATGATGAATATTTCATTTTTATTGAGTTAATATTGCCATTAACCACTGATCCACGTGTGCCTCCAGTAAGTGCTCCATTAAAAATGTAGCAGCACGTTCTGCAGGCTCAACACGTTTAGCTTTATTTTGAATGGATAAGAGGAAGCGTTGCGTCGTAATGTGTCCGACTTGACGGTGGGAGGACGGCATCCCACCCTAGCGCGCACTCAGACTCCAGCTCTCTCCTCTCCTCTGTGGCGCAGCTCCCCTCCTCCTCCCCTCCCCTCCACACCCACACTCCTCTCCTCTCATCCCCTCCATGTCGGCGTATAGGGTCTGGGAGCGAACAGACGACCGACACATTAAAGCACCTCCAGAAAAAAAAGAAAAAAAAAGAAGCATGGCGACCGCGCAAAAACGACAGTACGCACAGCCAGTATGCATGCACCCAGTGACACCAGTCATCCTCAGTTCAGATGCACTGTACAGCATGTGACTGGGAGGTTAAAAAAATAACGGTGGCATTAGTGAAATGAAGAATATAAACCGACAATTAGGTTTAAGCATTTTATTTTGCAGACTGTTGCTCACAAAATGAAGAATAATCTGCAGAATGTACAAAATGTGCCACTCCCCCCCACCACCACCACCTCTCCGAATGCAAGACACAGAAGGAAAGAAACGTGGTCGCAGACACAGACACATGTTTGTAGGGGACTGGCTTCTGTTTGTCCTCCTTTGTCTGTTCTGGAGTCGCAAGGATGGTTAATTTGCCGGTAGCGATTCTGCGGCGCAGCCTACCGCATGGCGAGCATTTGGGCAAGGCGCAGCGGAAAGAAGGCATTGCACTGACAATCACAACCTTCCCTCCACATGGATCACTGTCAGTGGTAGACCCCAGACTGTCAGGTCACATAATCGTATTTAAGATGCCCGTAGTGGATCTCATACAGCACAAGTCTCGTTTCCTCTCTATAGGATGCATCCTGCAGAGAAACATGATATAGGCTGGGATCATATATGGGCACGGAAACAAGGAGGAGAGAGAGAAGAAAAAAAAAAACAGCTGAGGGTGTCTTAATGCACACATGATGGAGGAATAGTCTACTTTATGTAACAGCCTTTTCATGAGCAAAAAACACTACAGTTGAATTTTTTTTTTTACATTTATGTAACCGGAGCTGCTGGGAATTAGCCCTCCAACCTCACAGCCAGTGGCCAAAACAAAAAAAAAGAAGAATAGAAATAGAAAGGTATAGCAAATGTTATCCCAGACACTGCATATTTTCTCTGTTGGTGAAATGGAAGACTAACATCACCCATAGGTGTAAATGTGACTGTGTATGTGTGTTATAAAACCAGGCTGTTCCCTGCATCTCACCCAGCTGGGATCAGCTCCAGCCCCTGGAGACGTTGCTGTCTATAAACAGCTATATAAAAAATGAACGGATGGATATTTAATGTGCTGATATTTGTGCCTCGAGATTCACATTCTAAATGCCACTCAAAGTCTGGGCAAGCTGAGCAAGTCTGAAAAAAAGATTTCCAAGTGTCTATGCAGCATCCATGGAAGTCAGAGAGTTGGAGTGTCTGCTTCAAAGACGCTGTCCTCTTTAGTTTCGAGCAAGAAATAAGCAACAAATTCTCAGATGAAGGCCTTGGAGTCCTGCTGGTGACAGAAGGTTATGGTGGATCTCTAATGTAGGCAGGTGGTTGACTCTGCAGGGCTCTATAGGTGAGATGTCTTTGAGGACTTCAGGGGATTAGCAGGTGCATTCTGGACATTCATAAAGCACCTAGGGATGAGTCACTAAGACATTAGTCTACAGAGGATGACATGAATGCAAAAAAATACTTCAACAAACCTCCTAAACCTTTAGAAAAACAGATGCATTGTATATGGAAAACCAGCAGAACACTTGTCTGCTATATTACATCTTATTGTGATTGTATGTGATCATTCGAAACACATGCTAATCAAAAAAACTGAGAAGCAGTTGGTACTTTCCTGACATACATGCTTATTAAGTCTCTCTGTTTTGCTTTATTTCCTTCACTTATGGATGTACACAAACCAGGAATGTGCTCAACAAAGGCAGCACCAGCCAAAGAACCCCTTCAGCACCAAGGACAGTTCCTCCCCAGTCACCACAACAGAGCATTCTGCACAATTGTATAATTACAGACTGAGTTTACACATAAATGGAAGTACATTGTGTCGTGATGTATTTAACCTGCATAGTTTTGGATCTGTGGATGTAAAGCTATAATGAACATAATCATACCGTCTAATTAGAATGCACAGTATAGCAATCTTATGATTAAATGGGTGAATAATTTTAAAAACAAAAGCGTGACTGTAAATTGCATCTTGAATGTATTATTCTCCGATATCTGTAGATGCAGTAACTAAAATAACATCTGAGAGGAAACTGGAATGCTAAATCTGTTAACCAGCTTCACCTGAATCTAACACCAGCAGTTTTCTGTGTGTATATTTTTGCTATTGATTCATTATTAATGTATGTTATCGCAGAAATGGTGGTTAGTTGGATGAGATTTTTCTATTTATTGAACATTTTAATAATGCTCAGGTTTGCGACAGGATTTCGAGGAACATTCCTGCGTGATTTATGTCTGTCTCTCTTAAACAGGAATTATTATGGAGGCATATTGAAGCAGCAAGTGAATCATAACAAATGAGACCAAAGCGGGATTGCTAGGTCAGTAACCATGTCTCTCTAGTGTAAAATTTGGGGTAGAGCCTAGAGATAACAACGATCAGGCACCGAGCGAATTAGCAGCCGTGGCCTCGTGTACCAAAAAAGGAAACTGGAGGAACACCACTGAATGTGTGGAGCAAAGCTTTTAGCCGAGTAACGAGGAACAGTAGCTGTTCAGCTTGCTGGTATGAGCAAATTAAACCACCGGAAAGAAGGAAGTCAGTCAGGAACATTTCGCTGTGAAAGGGCAGCTATGCTGTTTTAGAGAGAAGATAAGGTCTGGGAAATCCGTCCAAAAAACAGACAAGCAAAGTCGGTCACAACAGCTGGCAGGGCAAGGCTGTCCTGATAGCCTTAAGCAGAATAGATCACTGGATGAATGCGTCTAATGGAGGGGAGCCATCACAGCTTCTTTGAATAATCTATGCACAGTCAGCTGGACCATCATGTAGTGTTGTTTTAATAATCAAACAGTACATTTCCTCAACAAAACATGAATTAGCATTGAATGTAATGCCAAATGCCTGTATTAGGACGTACAATTAAAGAAGAAAAATAGATACTAATCTGTTATATGCATCTTTTTTGTTTAAAATATTACACTTATTGTACTATAATGATTCTCTGCCTGCTCCAGCTGCAGGAAAACAACTCAGATCAGGAGAATTTGCATGAATGAAAGCAGGCCTGCTTGTCTTAAGTCTTAAATTTAGACTCTCACAGGGCAGCGAATTTTAGCCTAAAGGGTCCAAAATGCACAGAAATAAAAGGAATCTGGTAAATGTGACCCTGGATGTGAGGTCAGTCTAACCTAACAGCTGAATCTGGCAAAGTGAAACTGTGGCTGGGTTTTTACTGTATTGATCAGATATGTTGATGGAAAAATGAAAGCACTAAAGCTTTATAAAGCTTTTAAAGTCCAGACTCATGGTAAAAGGCAGCCACTGGCCTCTTAGTGCTCGAGCTTAAACTTTAGCTGAAACACACTCACCTGCACTCGCAGCAGATATGCAAACATAACATCACATGGATCTGAATGGAAAGAACAGACATTCCCATTTACAAGTGCTGCTGATTGTTCACCTGCCTGGCTATAGGAACCATTTTACATTTGTTGCATAAGACTTGTGTTTCCATAGCAACAGCAACTTGATGAATGTGCGAGCTGTGATCAACATTCTAAATTTGATGTACTGTCCCCTCGCAAATCTGTGCTTACAGCGAAGCATCTGAGGCAGCTATGTTTGGCATTCGACAAAGACAACACCGTTCCTTTCCAGTCCACCTCCTTCATCCGGAGGTACGTTCTGATTGGACTTTTAGTTAACGGGCTGCAGGATGTAACTGAATCCTTGAGCTATGTCTGCGTCTGTTTGTTCATCTGCATCCAATGTTCCGCAAACTGTCGTGATTCCTGTGGAGTATTTTTTGACTCGTCTCTTTACCAAACCGCGCAGTGCGTGGCGGATTCCAGTTTGCACGCAGTCATCTAAAACAACCAGCACAAAATGTCCAGTACAAACTAGTCCAGCAGTGACCCCATGGCAAGGGCAGCCATGCACATAAATAACCTGCCACAGGCGTCACTCAAGATGGAGCCTAAATCACGCTGCTCTTAACTCCATCATAGTACTCCATCCCACTGGCCTCCAGATCTGCAGCCGCTATTACGACCACTGGTTC